AAACATACACTCATTTGTCCCGTTATTCTGCATACTATTCATTGCTAAACACATTAATCATCACATATTCCACTCGTGTTTTGAATGAACAGAATAACACTATTTGTCACAAAATAATATATTAATTAATATATTAATTATATATTAAAATAATAAACAGTTTATAGAAATTGAAAATAAATTCTAATAATAATGAAACAAATCGATGTGAATGAAGATCAGATCCTTGTGGTGACCGCCGAAGACTCACTGCCGGAACAGTTCGACACATCAGACTTACCCACGAGTCTAATCATTACAAACATCGACAGCCGGGTCTTCACCGCCGACGCAGATGTTCGGGTGAGTGATAGCCTCCTTATATACATACAGTATGTCTAGTATAATGATATTCATGTCGATTATCATCTCATACTTCAGGACCACTTCGAGGAGACGTTCAAGAAGTTCGACACTTCGGCCACCTTTCAGTACTTCAAGAGCTTCCGGAGGGTTCGCGTCAACTATTGCTCAGGCATGAGTGCCGCACAGGCGAGGATCAGATGCCATCAGATGAGGATTGGCGACGAGATTGTTAACTGCTATTTCGCCGGGGTTTGTGTCACTCATTACATTACATACCACTCCATATATCACACATACTTGTCCACAATAACCTCATTGAATGATTGACAATATTTATTGAGTATAGAATTATATGTTATTTTATGTAATGTATGTCTATTTTATGAAATGTTTTTGATTAGTAACTTGTGTTTACTGATCAAATCATAAGTGAATTACTATTACTATACTGTATGACCATGTATAAACTAAATCAACTACCTCCTACACATAATTATCCACCCTGTCCAGTTTTATATTGAATGAACAAAACAAGTAATAAATTAGATTTCTTATAGGAATTGATGTATTGTTTAGTTTGTTATTTATTGTAAATATTTTTGGATCTTAAATTAAATCATTTAATATATACTGGCTAGATGTTTAACTACCCCTATCAATTTTCTAATATATTAAATGCCTAAATATATTCAGTACTCATAGAATATTTTAAAACTATTTTGTGATAATTTAGTTTAATTGTGTATTTATTGGTTGAATGAGAACTCATGAGAATATATTCTATAATTTCTAACATACCTGTCCTTTGTGTCCAAGGGTTATTTGCCTGATACATACCACTCAATTAGTCTCATTATTATTAGACAAATACATTAATCACTCATTTTATAATCATTAATCTATTGACGCATTCAATTAGTGCTACTTATCTGTCATTAAATCCATAAACGGATTGTCTCTAAAAAACTTTATTTTCAAAACTCAATTGTAATGACACTTTATTTTTCAATGAGACTAATGATTATATTAATTAATTCAATGAATTCTCTAATTCTAGCTCTAATTTCAATGATAGCTTATCTAACAGTT